CAATTCAATCCATCGAATTTGCTGCACTTTTCCTCCCTTCGTCTTAGTATGGGAGCATCGGGTTTTTTTTCACACTGAGATACAGAGGATATTCTCCAGCTTCAATCTGTGCGCTATCACTCAAAAACGCCTCATATTAATTCATTTTACGATCCATAAAGACTCAGATAAAAGAGGAGCACCTTCCAATTCTTTCCAATTTAGGAAGTCAGTATCCTGTTGCGAAGGTACCTATGATTTGATTGATGTGGCACGGTGCGAAAGCCTATCCGACTACTCTGTGAAAGTTGATCAATTCACCCAGTGGTTTTATCGCAAAATTTTTTGATATCATATTATATATAAACCAGAGTTTGTTTGTCTGACCGCTCCCCAAAAATTCGCAAGTGTCCCCCACATGTTTATAATTCTTCCTTCAAAAATCACCTAGGAGGGCGGGTCAAGTTTGGAATGGGTAGAGTATGAGTCGCTCTATAAGGGGAATATATTGGCCATGCTAAACTCCGCCTCCAGTGGGCGGGGCGTGCGTCGAAATTCAAAATTTCGGTGAAAAAATTGCAGTTTTTGGCTTCAGAACAGTCCCAAAGACAAGGAAAAATAGGGCCTAGAATAGGGCACACACCGCTCTATAAAAGGAATATAATAGCCATGGAAAACTCCGCCACAGCAGGCGCCGTCCAAATAGGCAGTTTTGGGAAAATTCACCTTTTTTGCTTCCAGAACATCCCAATGACTAAGAAAAAATAGGCTCTAGATAAGGCATACCCCTCTCCATAAGGGAAATATACTGCTCATAAAAAACTCCGCTTACAACAGACGGGGCATGCGCCCAAATAGGCGATACCGACAAAAAATCCTTCAGTTCGCTTCTAAAATATAGTCTAAAGACCGCGAAGAATGAACGCTGGGTAGAGCCATGAGTCACCCTGTCATATCATACTAATTATATAAACCAGAGTTTGTTTGTCTGACCGCTCCCCAAAAATTCGCAAGTGTCCCCCACATGTTTATAATTCTTCCTTCAAAATCACCTAAGGAGGGCGGGTTAAGTTTGTAATAGGTAGAGCGTCGCCTGCGGGGCAGGAGGGTCAAGTGCGAGGTTCGCAGGATTCTGTCATTTAGTTCTCCCCCCAACCATTCCCTCTATCATGAATGTTCCTATAGTATTTCATTCTGACACTACTAGACAGAGACATTTGTAGGCCTGTTGTAAACCTGTTCCTAAAAGAAGTATTAGGAAAAAGGGGGAAAAGGTTGTTGAGCGAGGGGGGAGGCGGGTGGTAATATGG